GGTGGGGGAGCCAGGGGGGTGGGGCTGTGGGTGGCGTTGGGTGTTCTGAGGTGAGAGGTGGTTTTGTTAGTGAAGCAGCCTTTCGGAATCGTGTGCAGCTTGCAAAACGATGGCTGTTGGCCGTCGATTTTTCCCTTTTGGGTGAAGACAAACGCAGCTGCTCAGCTTCCTCTCGGTACCGGCTTTAATCACCCTGTCTGAAGCTGCCAAGCAATGGAACGCGTAGTGCTGCTTTGGTGTTGTGCTGCTACAGGCGGCACCAGTGTCTGAACATCTATGCTTGATTTGTTTGGGTTTGTTGTTGATTTTAATATATATGTTAGGAAATTGGTAACATTTGTCGTAGTAGATTAAAAAGGTCTGTAGAACCTTTTTTATTTGTGGCTTGAGAAAGAGTTGCATTCCTGTACTCTTAAATATTTAAAATTTTTTAGAAAATATTTTTTTGTTGTTGTTGTTTTACAACAGTAGGTCTATTCTTTTTCCTGTCTTCTTGCTGCAGTGACAACAGTGCACGTGAATGATGGAGCTGGTGCTCTTAAAACTTCAGTGGTTTGGAGAAACAACAGAAAACGCCGTGATCTCATTAGATTGTGCTCTGATGTAATCACCTAATTCCTAATAGTAATGATGAAGTGTGCTTGCATTTGAAATTATGTCACAGAACTGACAGTGCTACAGAATTAAAAACTGTGGTGCAGTTAGTCCCAGATTTGATACTCAGCTGAAGGACCTGGACATGGGGCAGAAACATGTGCTCTCTTTGTCACACTGCTGAAAGCTGGAGAACTTTGCTGGTGTTGAGGAGGCCAGCTGAAAGCACAGAAGGCAAAATACGGAGGTTTTTTTCTGAAGCTTAAACAAAGTAACATTAGGAAGAAGTTCTATACTGTGAGGGTGGTGAAACACTGGCTAAGGTTGCCCAAAGAAGTGGAGGAAACCCTATCCCTGGAGGCATTCCAGGTCAGGCTTGATGGGGCTCTGAGCAACTTGACCCGGTTAAACAGGTCACTGCTCACTGCAGGGGGGTTGGACTAGATGACCTTTAAAGGGCCCTTTCAACCCAAACCATTCTATGACAAATAAATTATTAATGTGAACAGTTGTGGGTGTGGGTGAAGAGATGTAAGCTGTTCATTGTAGTTTGAGGGTCTCTTCTAATTTTTCATCAAATTCTCTAAAACGTCATTGATAGAAGTATATGTAGATCACCAGAATTTGTTGTACAATCACTACCAAGGGAAAACAATAGTTTTCCCCCTAGCCTCCTATTTACCCTTTTATACATTCTCTGTTGTATTCAGTTTTTGCAATGATGTAGAGTTGGAAGAGAGCAAAAGTTTCTGAACTGGACATTTTGTGCGATAATTAAGTTGTGGTGTCAGGGTAATCGCACCTTTGTAATTCCTATGTCTGTGGCACTTGTCTGCTCCGATTCCAAAACATTTTGCATAGACACCACATTGTTGCTCCTGTGTGTTGTGAGTCCTCAGTCTTCAGGGTGAAATAGTCAGTTGGATGAGCTGAGCTAACAGTTGCCTGCTTCAGAATTTTTTATTTTTTATTTTTTTTTAAGAAAACCTACATTAATTTTATGCCAGACTATTTATTAGAATACTTTGCAGGCAGGTTTCAATGAATGCTAGAGCCAACTTAATGTATGAGGGGAGGGTGATTAAAAGCACAGATCACCAAAATTGTGAATTGATTCTGCAGGTTCTCACTAAAAGCAGTATCATTTTCTCACAATTCCTGACTGATGTCTGCTGCTGAAGCCACATTTTTAGCTTAACAAGTTGTTATTCCCCTTACAGGTGCATTGTTTATTATGGCATCAGTCTATCTTTTATTGCCATGACATTGTCAGGTGACTTACAAAGGTGGCAATTCAAATGCTTTTTTTTTAAAGTAAAAGGAATAGATTGAGTAACCAGGACTGTTTGAGACTAATCTTATTTCTATGGTCATTTAGTTTGTCCTTTAATTTATTAATAACTTATTCTTTCCCCGGTTTTTCTACTATTTTTCTCAGGAATGGGATGATACTTTGGATAGCAGGTGGATAATAAGGGACTATAGATGGGTCTGTTCTCATGTGGCTCATTTCACTTGACATTTTTGAATGCTATATAACATTAACACTGCTTAAAGCTTCTGGAATTTCCTTGGTACTCCAAAATTTGTTAGATTCTACATAATTAAGACTTTTTTTTTTTTTTTTAAAAGGTTAGGTATAGTGGGAAAATTTAGAGTCACTGAGTTATCCCCAGTTATGAGCAGACTGAAACTACTTAAAAGACATTTTTCACAACAGATGTACATCATCCTTCTTACTAAACACTTGGAAGAAGGAAAAAAATTCTTAACGAACCTATTGCACTGATGGGTTTACTGTCTCTGTTTCATAACGGTTCTCGGTCATGAACAGGTGTTCCATAAGTTAATAAAATTCTCTATTTTATAGAGGAATAAAACAACGAGGGCAGAATGACGATTCCTTTTTTTCCCCCCCAAATGGTGTATCTGTAATGCATGCCCAATGTATTCGCTCCCTCCATCTGAGGGCACAGCCTGTCCCTGCAATTACAGGCGCAGACAAAGCGCTGAACGCTCTCCCGGGGCAGCTCCGCCGCGGCGGGGACACACAATCAACCACGGGCTGTTGCACATCTCGAACCGAGAGGCCCGCGGCTTTGCCAAAGGGGGGAGATTCCCGATTCCCCTCGACTCTTCTCATCCGCCTCTAGAACCGCGCGCACGCGGGGAGCGGGGCGGGGCGGCAGCGCCGCGGTTCGTGTGCGCGGCTGTTCCACACGCTGTGGCGATAATGAACTGCATTCAATTATTAATCGTCTGTCCTTTCGGTGCGCGGAAACCTATCGGCCTCGGCCGGGGCTGGCACGCCGC